AGCCGCTTACGTGATGTCCCCTGACAATTATATGTGAGATACATTGAGAAAACCAAATAATGACACGTTAGCATCGCCGGTACGATTGGTATTAAAATATTCTTTAATCAGACCCAATTTATATACCTTAACGTGCCTGTTGGGCGCGATACGAACCACTAATGACATCGGCAGAACTTGTCACTGTTCAAGGCGCGAAATTCGCTGTTTCACACGGCTGGTCTTTTGAAGACCACGTTTTGGAAATCTCGCGGGATTTCACCGCACAAAGCCTCGTGGCTCGCGGGAAATGATTATTCCGGCTTACGGCTGCCTTCTAATGAGTTGGCTGTCAGATTGTCCCGGGTTCGGTGTGAGAGGTATTTGGCGTGGCCCTCTGGGAGTCGAATCGTTACTCAGATTTTTTTTTCATGAGTGTGAGAATTGCCGAGTACAAAAAAAAATCAACTCCTTTACAATTTGGCTCTGAGACAGCTCTACCATTACTTCATTTTAAGTCTTGTCAAATCGTGCCGTAAATCAGTTGTAATTCTATTTGCCAAGAAAGGACACCGAACAACGTTGAACTGCCGCGTACAACGGGTGATCAACTGCCTCTTGGGAAATGTGCTAAGAAATGTGCTATAGGACAAGAGACGACCTCCTCTGTTAATGCTCCGTCAAGATGTGGAATCATGCATCGTATAGCTTAGTCCTTTAGAAGTTTTTTGAATTCACACCAAGGCGTTGTCATTGTAAATTTATGACATTTCTCCGCAGTAAAAGCCTATCGGACATTGATCGTCATGAAGAGGATGGTTTTTATCAAGTGGCTTTTTTCCCGGACCGTCACTCGTGTTCCTATTTTCGTGGGGTCTTGCGGAGTCCACAGGAATCTATACACAAAACGTGTCGTCACACATTTCAGAGCTGCAAATCCAGTGAATACCAAAAAAACCCACGATTCCTACAAATGAATTCAATTTATGGGGATATCAACCCGGGTGGGAAGTCAGAGAGTACTTACACCTCAACCTTTTCACCCGAGGTTTTCTTGACAATCATGCACTTGTTCCATTGTTAATTGATAGTAAAGAATCAATCATAGTCATGGATTCGTAGACTGAATGCGAGTAAAAAATGCCGGACAAAAAAGCAGTCGCCGACTTACACAAAATAAAAAGCATTCTTCAAAGGTTCGCTCCACCCGAGCTGCAAAACAAAATGTGACTAGAAAAAAAGAAGAAGATCTTTGTGAACCGAGGCGAAGGATTTCACGCCGGCGCGGTGTTTTATTCTAAATCGAAGCGAGGGACTTGAATTGAATTATTGAGCGAGGCCGTACAGGGGGATGCTATGCTATACACTCGCCGGAATACGATACCCTATAGCCTGTTAACATTCAACCGTACCATCATCTCAATCCTGCGGGTCGCTTCGAGATGGTGACCGTCACTTCACGGGCTGTGGATCATGTTCCCTGGCTTGCCCTACTCAACCCTGCCACCGTTCGCTCTAAGATTCGATCCTCCCCGTTTCACCCTAAAAACATCGGCACTTCGACCCGTTCCCCATAGCTTGTATCTCTTCACCCGTTGAGAAAAGTCAATTTCCTTCATATGTAATTATGGCCGTCGACCTGTCATTGAGATAGTAGGCAAGTCGTATCCTGGTGTAGTGGCGTACTAGAGCTGCTCGAGTGAGAGACAGTGAATCTGTCTGGGGAGGGTACTTTGAGGAGCATGTCAATGCTGGCAACGGATTGTAAACACTTGTAACTGAAATTGAAAAAAAAACCTGAGAAATTCGAAATGAGGGAATATACTTCTATCCAGTGTGGGAGTAGATTTATATCTCACGGCTGGCATGTGCTTTAATGATTGATTTATCAAAAGGTTAGTATCTTTGTTCACGCAATTAATACAAAATTAGAAACAACTTGAAGACGTAAGCGGGAAGCGTGAAGATGGTGTTGCTGAGATGGTGATGCTGAGACGATGAACGCCTCGACATGACATTGCTCAATCGCGAAAAACGAAATTGGCTTTAAAAAACAGAATGTATTGGAACGAGTCTCGGTGAGCTTGATGAGTTTATAAAGACAAGTAGATTGGAACATTACTTTTGCTTGTTGCAAAGGTAGAATATAAGCTCGTCAGACTCACTAGGCTAGTTAAAAGGTCAAGCATGATCACTTTTAATCATTCGTCTGATGATATCAGACTTTGTCGTCAGTAACATCATTCGAGCATGCTCTAAATTGCAAAAGCAGGACCGCAATTTTCTCTAACCTAAAATTACAAAAGAAAACGATTGCAAAAATCACCTCGAAAAACTTCGACATTTTGTCACACGGACACTCCAACAAGACTTACTGATGACAACGGGGAAGAACAGAAAATGGTATGCGTTTTTGTCATCAAGGGCAGCATTAAGCAGGTGTTTACTTGACTGCTATCTGAAGAAGAAGAAAATGCCCAAGATGCCGTTTCATTGCCATGGTACCGAAACACTGCAAGTCGACTCCAAGACATCTAATTTCAAGAATTAATTTTCCGCTCGTCTGACACTCAACGAGGAATAAAATAATAAGGCACTCTCAGTCCGCATTAGGCTGTGTACCGAGTCAGTATAGACAGACACGTCTTAATCTGTCCAAGAAATGTCCACGCACGCTTGCACCCACGCGACTCTTAAAGAACCCTTTTTTCTTGCTTGAATACATCCAGGGAATAAAGAAGAAAATTTGACTTGAATTATTGAGTGCGCCCTTCCTCCCAGATTATTCATAATGACCGGATTCTGACATTTTTGACGACATTCAGACGCAAGGTGATAATCTTTTTTTATTAACCTTCTACATTTCTACATTTCGGATCTGCTTAGTTTTACTTTCTTTCGTGAAGTACGACAAATGCTAAGATTGTGGTCAGATAGGCCTTGGAGGTGTTGTATTTCTCTCTACAGACTAGCCAGAATATCGAGAAGGGTGTTAGGCTTATCTGATGAATTAAGCCATAGTGATGCTGCAGAAACATTATACTTAGCGAGTGGATTTAATGAGAGTAATTTGAAGCTTGCACACCTTGATTAATGAAAGTCATTCAAATGAGATTCAAATCATTACAATGCAACAAAATAGCTATAATGTATGATGGACGGCAACGCCCCAAAAAGGGCGTTATCGACCCGCCCCCAAGAGACAACACCAACTGTTATTGGTGCTGTACACTTGAACATTCTACTGGGATCGTTCAGGTCAGGGAACAGTCTTTCGGTTTTATTTTGGTACACGATCTACCAAATAAACAATGTTGACCAAATAATCAAAGTTCACATAATTGCCTGGTTTCCTCCGATTTCACGACATAATTATCTACGGAAAACTCATAACAAGACGACACCAATACTATGTAAATGGAGACTAGTTCCCCTTATACCAAGCCCAGTCGTGATCCACGAAAGGCTTAATACACACGACCTTATTAAAAGACAAAAATTAATGATGCTGTGAAATGTGATACATTCAGGAACAAACGCAGCTCTATAATAAGCAAACCAAACATCGTCATGATCAAAACAGACTCACAGCTCTCTCCTCCCAATATCCAATTTGTTACTGGACGTAAAACAGAGATGCGAATTAGCTGAGGTACAACACACGAAAGCCACTTAATCCTAGACAGGCACGAGTCCACCATTGCCCTCTGAGTTTTGATTTAACTCTAGGAGACATCAAGACAGCATCTCCAATAAATCATCAGGCATTACTGCGCGATCTCACCCCTTTCTGGGCTTTTTAGGTAAGACTACCTCTTCGCATGTGATATATCATCTTGTTTTTCTCCCCAATTAAACATTACAACTTCTGTCTGCGCCACGATTCGCCCGAAATGTTGTTGATTTATTTTAGGTATTAGTGCTAACCAGTGGGGGAGCCACGACGTCCGGTAGCCTGATGCCACAAACTGTCGCCTATAGCTGAGTCAAATTGTTGAAAGGATCAATCATAATCGTTTTCCAAATCTTGGTTTCGTTTGCGACCTCAAATAACACTGTCTACACTTTGACTACATGTTGTAGCCGGAGCCGGAATTAAGCCGTCATTTGGAAAACCACTTCTGTCGGGGCATTTTTTGCTCGCCAACAGAGGCTTCAATATTTCATGACAGGTTCAGGTACAATTCTGACCTTTTTTATACCTTTGCAATGGAAATCTACGGCTGACATTTAGACAATACATTCATGAGGAAATAATGTGCATAAATTCACTTTTTGCTTTAATGTTGAATTTCAATAGACAGCGGCGGCGCCTTTCTTGTTTTTATTAATCACACTCCGTTTGGTCTTTTAGAAATCTTCTATAGAATGTGGCTTATTTATATTCGGAATATCGGAAAGAAATTGTCCTGTCAGCAAGTAACTACCAAAGGAATGGAATAAAATTTGACGGAAAATTGATACGGATCGAATATAATTTGCTGTATAATGCCACTTTTGTAACAAACGGCGATTTGTGCATTGTGATGTTATCAACGTAAAAAAAAACATTAATAACTTTACTATTGAGGGTTTAAAAAAATGAATACATATATACCGGAATAAAACACAAATAAAAACACACATCGTTAATTTTTCTAATTTTGTAAAGTTGTTATGTTTGACACAGACTAAAAATTGCATAGGCACGGAGGAAACAAACTACCTCCATTTTCCCGTCTTCGATAAAACCCACATCGTCAACACGAAACACAAGGTGAAAGAGACTTCGGGATAAAGATCTGGACTGGGAAAATATTCCATTTTCAGAGCAAGAACAGAGAGTAACCGGCGATGGTTATTTTCGTTTTCAGGTGAAATTGTGGTAAACATTTCACAATATATTCTCCGAAGCTATACTCTTGTTAGCGTGAAAGTCCGTGTACACTGGAGACCAACAGCATCAACAACAGAATTGTGCGTTTAAGGAACAAGGTGGTTTTTTTTCTGTCTAAATAATATGAAGAGTCAGACAGACTTACCATTCTCTGTTCGTTAGCTTCTTCCTCTGGCGTCGATGCAGGTCGGGCCCTGTTGTCCGACGCTCGAACCCACACATTGCCCAGCAGCGCTCGGTGGTAGCCGCCAAAGGGCGAGTATGCCTCGATGATCCTGAACGGACCGGCGACGAACAACACCGCTACGGCGAGAAGAGGGTACAACTTCATCGGGATAACTCGGACCATTCACCACGAATCAAAACCAAAAAACCAACAAACCCAACCAGGGAAATCCCCGTCGTCAGCCCCGTGGACTCGGCAGCTCTTGTCCCGGTGATAATGCTGAGTAAGCTCAGTCTGGCTCGTACCGCTGCGAGAAATAGAGCGGGACCAAGTGACAAAACGGCGTGTCAAGTGGCTACTTTTGAGTAAGTGGTATATTAGCCACTGCTCACGGCTTTTATTGAATCAATTTGCACTCCTCCCCACACACACACACAAGGCGCGCGCGCGGGTAAAGGGAGGCCGCGCCGTTCGGCCCCTTCTGATTGGCCACATGGTCTCTGACGTCAGGCGCGCATCTCAGCTTCGCAGGCGAGACCACGTGCTCCTGTAGGCACGCTTACGGGCTGTATTTCTCCATGTCATGGGTTTTTCTGGAAAAGGCTTTTGAAATTCACGAAAAATGGACTTTATTTGGTAACAGAGACGTAAAAGGAAATAGTATTTAAAGGAAGACTACCAAAAATTAACGTCTAAGAGTTTTTGGCCGCTCAACATACAATAACACAGTAACTCTAAAAAGGCAATAATTCTTGGTTTAATGTATGATGAAGTACTATATTAAGGTGTAACAATAACTGGTAGCAATTAAAAGGTGTTCAGAAATGGTGTTTGTGAAATGAAAAGGGGTAAAATTTGGTCTATGTAGAGGCAGAAATATAGTCGTACCTAAAACCATAAGAACCAAAATGTAAGCCTACTATAAGCGTATTTAGCGTCATTTTTACAGACGACCATACAGTACATTAAGCCTACACGAATTTACACGAATCTTTGAAGTCTCACTTTGTGGAGATCGTGATCTTTCTGATGTTACCATAAAAAGGGTAAAATACGATTTGAACATTTCTTCCGGTTGACGTCAAAAGGCAGAAGCTCGAAAATGATGATGTCAACAAGTGGGAGTCCATGAGTTTGAAGTGTTTTTTGAGGTGTCTGGAAGGCCGTCTACGCAAACTGGGTATGTCCATGGGGCATGTCGATGCCTACGCCGTCCAAAAACACTTGATTATGTATGTAAAATTGTCACACTATAGTAAAAACAATTACAGTATTTTTGACCAAATATAACCAATTTTTTTTAGACATTAAGGATCGGCATAACTGTAATCTCAAAACATCAGCCAAAGTTATAATTTTTCATTAGGTAATTGACTTGGACGTCTATATATGGCGAATGGATATTGGTATCTTCACCCATCGGTGTTTTTATCACAAGTAACTCTATTTCCAGCAACTTCCGGAAAAAAGGATTTCCTTTTTTTGACAGTGTTATGTGTAAAGAGATAAGAGAGTGACGTATTCACATCAACAACATAAATGTAACATTTCTTCATTTTTCCTCCAGAACTCATGGGGGTGAAACGTTTGGAAAGGAAAAGTAACTTAAAAGATTACGGCGGACCTGTACAGCGGCTAATCTGATCACGCTGTGTTTAATCATATTTCTTCAGGGTAAAACGCGCGCTTCCGCAGTGTATGTGCGTGGGTTTTTCTGGATATGTTATAAAGCTAATATTTGTTTCCATAGAGTTTGATCTGATTTGATTTGATTAAGAAGAAATCAACAACGTTAACTACACATAGCAATACAAAGATAAGAAAATAAAGAACAGTTGATTTCGTCTGCGATAGCCCCCCCCCCCAAAAAAAAAGCAAATTGCAGGGGCTTATTTCCATTGGAATTAGGTGAAGTTACATATGATAAACTGTACTATTTTTTTCTCGTTTTATTCTCCTGAAAGGTGGAATTATATACGAAATGTTGGGCAGTGACGTAAGTTTTTTTTTAATCTTAAATATAAATTGCGTCTTTGTATAAGCATTGGGTTCAATGCATTTGCATTTCTTGCATTACCACGAAGCTGTTCAAAGTGTCTGAGTGAAGATTTCTATTAATATTAAATGACTTATAAATAGAATGGAATTGAGCTGGAATAATTGATTCCAAGAGGAACTACCGAAACGGCCTAACAGCAACGGATATTTATAACAATACGGTTGATATGCAACATGGTCCATTCATTTATTTATATACACGTGTCAAAATGTCGAGTCAAATTTAAAAAAAAAAAAGTCTTCGAAATAGCCGCGAGACAGGCATGTGTATGCGAAAATGAAAAGAAAACAATCCGGACAGAACTCGTATCCGAAGAGCAAATACAATCCGCTCGACGAGACGATGAAACACAAAGAGACTTCGGTCAAATCAATGGAATTAAATACATGCTTGATTGGGCATTGTTTTAAGCCTTTAATACGCGCGGATGAACCCGAATTACCGCTTCGCGCTATGCGATGCCCTGGAGATTTCGGTAAAGGTTGGACCTTCGTGTGCTATGAGGTCTAGTCGCAGAACGCTTGAAGGAATTTTGAGAAAGCAACTTGTTATCTCGAAAGACCGTTTGTATCTACTCCAACGAGATTTTTCTCTGCATCACAACGTTAAAATCTTTAATCTAAGGAACAACTCGAAATATTTGCCTACATCTTTGTTGATCATTGGTCACGCCTAATTCGTTGCTGTACAATATTGGTAGAATTAATTAAATTTCAAAGTTTACGACGACAGGTTGTTTGGTTTTAACTCTGTTTCTAAAACTATTGGTTCGTCAACAATCCGTACAGTCACACTTGAAGTTCAAAGCTGACGTTTTTGTGTCAAAGCCCTAATTCAAATAAACATTTGTAAAAAAAAAAATACTGACGGAGAAAAATTGAACCACAGGGGCAGTCTCTCGTATCCACAAGTGATGCAGTTAATTCAATTGAAAGACATCTTAGAGTGTTCCTTTTGAATAAAGATAAAGTGGTAAATAGTCTTGAGGAAGTTAACTGCATCAAAGCAAGCCGCAACCCAGCGAGTGCTCTGTCTCTCAGGCCCGAATCCCCCTGCACCATTAGATGGATCAACGCAGCCAGAAATTAATTTCACGCTCGGAGCCGTCAGCCTTATACAGTCACCGTACGCGAGCTCCGCTCTCTATCTGTACCCCGTACACTTCCATCTAAATGGTCGGTAGAGGCGAGCACTTGTGGCACACGGTCTTCACTAATCATCCTTGATGCCAAGGCAAATACTGCGAGTAGTCCATGTTTGATTTATCGCTCCGTCTGTTGTCTTAAGCAATAAGTGAAAGGCTATGGTTCCAAATTCCTCCACTTCGAGGCTTAAAGGACTTAGCCGGTTATAGTTCAGCACCAAATGAAGACTGACAGCAACAACTCTATTCTATCCATTTTATTTCACTGCGTCTTGATTCTTGAAGATAAATCTATAAAGCCGTTGCTACGTGACCAGCACGCTAATTCCCACAGTTTTTAGCGAGCAGTTTACATTTTTGTTCCGCAGTTATTATGTTGTGTCGAAGTAAAAAGAGACAAAGCGAGTGTTTCTATCTTCAATCGAAAGTTTCGAAGCATTGGTTGGCCTGTTGCAATGTTGTCTCGTGCCTCCGTGAAAAAGAATACTTAACTGCATTGCACTTTATTGCAGTCTTGTACTAGACCAACTATTATCTTAATACTTACACACGTAACTCAGCTTTACCGTATAGCTAGGGAGCTTAGGCATACAATATTTTACCGCGTCTGGCGTCTTAGTAGGTGATGGGGCTGTTACCTTTTGGTTTTGTCTTGGTTCTTCTTCCTTTGTGTATTTTTGAACGGACAATAATTATCCACAACTTTACTGTCAAACAGAACAACGCACGATAACTTTTGTTACACTCTGAGTTTCAACGTCAACCTGTAAAGGTTAGAGTAAGAATAATTACATATTAGGAATCAAGCCACGAAATCTTTGACATTTTGACCTGCTTCCTGATCCCCTCCTTGTCCAAAGGGAATTTTAGTGACCGGTCATTCTCACTATTTCCATATCTTTATGTCAAAATAGCAGGGGCGCATCTAGCTTTCCGGAAACGGGAGGGGGAGATATATAGAGGGAGGATTGATTGAAGCTACGCCCCGCTAGGGGGTTCGGGGCATGCTTTCCCGGAAATATTTTGAAATGTACGATGCTCTCTCCTCAAATTTGAGAAAAAGTTAGGAACTTTTAGCATTTTATGAATTATATTTGATCCCACTTTACTAGTATCGTAACAGTCAGTGGCCGAACGGGGGACCCCCTTTCCATAGATCCGCCACTGTTATGCCGACTGGATGACGTGAGTACTTTTTTGTACTATGTCAGTTTTAGAAATTTATAGTCCTATAAATGTCGTTCAGACGAGAACAATGACGTGGGCTCGAACATGAAAGGCCCTTTAAATCCAAAGTGTTTGTAGAGTTCGTGTAACTTGGCTTTACAATTCACAATTATAGATAAATTTAGCTCTAAATGTAAGCTATACGGAGGGTTAAATAAGTAGAAAGAAAACACCACGTGATTATCCAAGGATCACTCGAGCCATATCGAGTTTGTTTTCCTTGCCCGTCTGACAAGACGTTGGGGCGCACGAAGAATGGAAATCGGTGAAACTTAAATAATAGAATGTTGGTGCACGGGCAGGCCTACAGTGCTTGATAATGCGTATCAAAGTGAAGGTTCCGAGCTGCATATGTACCTGCAGGTACATACAGTTTCAATTGATGGGTAATTCTATAAATTTGGGGTCCATTTTTATCTGTCCCTGTTTCATCTGGCATCAATGATTGTATAATTCTGATACACTCCTAATGTTGCAGTCGTCCTCCAAGAGCGATTGTGAATGACAAACTACCTACCCAACAAATAAATAATTGTTTGAAGTCATTATTTATAACACTTGAATGGTAAAATTACAGTTGTTTTTTCATAGGTAACAGGGACAGCAACAATGTCACACTTTGCAACCTAAATTTATAGAATGGCCCGAAGTGAACCAAAGTTATTTACGAGTTTTAGATTTTTAGATCAAGGAGATCCAAATTCTATTGCAGTTCACCGATTCTGCGCCACTGCAAAAACAAAAACAAATAATAAAAAAATAGCAGATGTAAATTCGAAGAAAACTATAACTTGATAAAGTTTCAAAATATAATACAATGTCGTAATCGTTTTCAACACTTGCAGTAGATTTGGGGTCTCTCTGCAAAACATTGATCTTTTTAAAAATTCTACCTCGGTTAATCACAGTATTACGGACAATGA